AGGGAGCTCTGCCACAGGGTCACCAGTGCAGGCACAGCAGGCACTGGCCTTGGGGAGCACCAGCACCGTGGGCACATCCCTGTGTGCCTGTAGAACAGGGACAGTGCTGCTGCCTCTGATACCTGGGTGCCATCATTGGTATTTGAGGGGTTTGGTATTTGAAATTTCACAAAGGCAGGCTGGGGAATGTGCTTGGTCATATGAAGATGGACTCTGCCCTGGGGCTGGGTGGGCTCAGGCTGAACTGTCCTAGCTGTGGACCTGGGACCAAACCAACCCAAGTGAGATTTTGTGAAACTGTGATTCCTCCTGCAGGAAACCTGTTCCTGCACATTCACACCCCTCGCTGACTACCAAGGGGAAATTCAAATACCCTGTCCAGCCCTGGGACCTGAAAAGCCAAATTCTCCCCGTCACAGCTGGTGCCCAGCTGGCTGTTGGCAGTGACCTGGCAGTTCCCAGGGGTTGGTTCCTGCTGCTGCTGTAATCGGGCTTGTCCTGCCTCCAGCATCTGGTCCTTCTCTCCCAGGCTCAGTAAACCTTTGGAGAGCCCGTTTACATTACGGATCCCTGGTACGTTCAGCAAGAGGCAATATATCAGCAATTTAGTTATTGTGGATTAGGTCTTGAATATCCTGGGGATATAATGTTGGTCTTTCTCACCTTGTGTGTAGGAGGACTAATGGCAAATTATCAGGATGGTTTATATTTTCTGGTTTGTACTGGAGCTCCCAAGGACCAATTTATCCTGATTGAATTGCAAACAAGGCTTAGTGCCATCTCAGGCTCAGGGGCCAGGCCTCTCCATAAATGAATTCAGAGCAATTCAGGTTACCCCAAATTCTTCCTGTCAATGGGATAATGGCATAAATCCTGCTAATGTTTAGACTGGAAATTGTTTGCAGCAACCTGAGCTTGATTGATGGATGGAATAACAGAAAGAATCATAATTCGTGTCCTGAGGTGAGGGTGGGAAGAGCTGGCAGCCTGACCCTTCTGCTGCAGCCCCCTCCGGTGGGCTTGCCACAGACCCTGAGTGCTCAAGGAGGAGATCTGGAAACCTGTGGATCGCGTGTGACCTGCTGTGGCACTGGCTCTGCAGCACCTGGATGCCAGTGGCCTTTCTGTGATAAGTGGGCAGTCGTGGTCAAACCCAGGCTCTCTTCAGGCTAGAAAGCAAGGAAATAAGGAGGAAAAAGTGTGTTGTGCTTGTCTGGTTTGTGCTGTGGCCTCAAGGTTTCCCATGGCACTTCCCTGCCCTGGCACTGCACAAGCCCTCAGGGATGGGGTACGTGGAGGTCGCACAAGCGTCACACTGGCTCTTGGCGCGCTGGGGCTGTGTTTGCTCTCCGGACATCCATCCCTGCTGCTGTCCTCGCGCTGGGGGACTGTGCCCAAACTGTGAGTGTTTTGTAAACACGGCGTGTGCTTCCTGCGAACGCCCTTCACCGGCAAAGCCGCCGTAATTAAAGCCGAGGGCGGGCGGAGCAGGCGGCCCCGCGGCTCCCTCCGGAGCCGCTGGCGCTCGGTGCTCATTTGGGGAGAGTTTGGGCCGTGCTGTCCTGACGTGCCTGCTCACACCAGCTCGTGTCCCCGGGCTGCTCTGGCCGTGCCGTGCTTTGCCGTACCGTGCCACACCGCCTGTCTGGAGGGTCTCTCCTGACCCCACCTCGCAGGGATGCCCCGCACCATGCCCAGGTCCCCACACAAGGTGCAGAGGGGCTGCAGGGCTAGAAGGATCCCCAGTCTGCACAGCTCTCTGCTCCCTAAATGCTCCCACAGCTCGGCTTAAGCACTTGACAGTGTTTATAAAGCAGCTTGCAGCAAACAGGCTTGGAAGTGCAGAAGAAGTTGGTGTTTACACGAGTGACTAATTATTTATTTGAAAATCCTGTGGACGAGCCGCGAGCTGTAACGACAAGCACATGGGGAGTGCTGGGCTCCTGCCCCGGCGGTCACAACAGGGATACGGTGAAAAGTTCAGAGCCACCGGGGTGGGGGGACCGTGGCAGTGCCCCACAGCACCCGAGGGGCCAGCACGGGTGAGCCAGCGCTGCCGGGAGGTGCTTTAACCGGGCACAGCTCAGCGCTGTGGCGTGTGCTGCACAAGGCCTGGTGGTACCCGGGTCACATCTCCGGCAGCAGCTGCCTCAAAGGTGCTGCCAGCCCACACCTGCTGCTGGAGCAGCCCCCTCCTTTCAGGCGTTCTTCTGCTGTAGCCGTAACCCACCTCAGGGGGGCTGGAGCGAGGGGGCTGCTTGGGCCAGGGGCCTTTTAGCCAATCCCCCTCCCCAGGGTGGGTAAGGGAGAAGAAGACAGGCTGCCCAGGGCCCGTGTCCATCCCAGGCTGCAGCCAGGCTCCCTTCCAGCACCATTGCCACCAGTCATTTGGGGCATCGGTGATTGCGCAGTTATTATAAAGGGATTAAAACAATTTTCTGTTTCATTTGACTTCACAGAGCGAATGTTGTTGCCTTTATTCTCACACAATGGCTGCCGTCGGCGGGGCTTTGCTCTGCCAGCTGCAGAGAGGAGCTGGTCCCTGCCTGGCTGTGCCAGAGCTCTTGGTGCAGCCTGAAGTTCACCCTTCCTGCACACCAGGCACAGGGCACGGGGAAAACCACCTGAAAACCACATGGAAAACGCCCCTGGCCAGCAGCCTGGCAAAGCAAGGGCTTGGGCATTCCCAGGCAAGAACAGGGCATGTGGAGTCCTCGGCACCAGCAACCTCCCTCTGCCTGGGTTTCCCTTGGCTCTCCAGAAGTTCATTCAGAGCCATCGGTTTGCTGCCCACACTGTCCTGGTGGTATTGCCATCCTGTCCCCCTGTCCTGCCACACACTCACCGTGGTTGGCAAGGGCAGGGCAGCACTCACAGCAGGGCCATGGGACACAGCGAGCCTGGGCAGAGCAGCTCCTGCTGACCCTGCCCTGTGCTCCAGGGAATGGGAGCTGGGAGGTTTGGAAATTCCCTTGGAGCAGAAATACAGCATTTTGGGCAGCTCATGAAGGATCCCGTCCCCAGACAGCCCCTGCCCCTGCTGGGGATTGCAGGCTCGCTCTCTCTTCAGCTCGACTACCAGCCCCAGAGGTGCCCACTTGAATGGGAAACATCTTGTGTGCTTGGCACCCGCAGCAGCAGCCATCTGCCGCTCGGGGAGGGCAGCCCAGGGGTCTGGCTCTCTTTTAAACAAGTTCCAGCTATAACTGTTTGCAGCACTGGCAGATGGCAAAGCTGCATTGAGCATTTTGACGGGTGCTCACTATTAGCAAGAGGGACCTGTGGATGAGGCTGGAGTGGTTCTCCCCACGCCGCTCGGGTGCCACCAGCACCTCCAGTTCACCCCACAGCCCCCGTGCTCGCCCCCAGCCATTGTGGGAGTGGTGCTGGCTGTCGAGTTAACCTCTTGTCCTCTTCCTTTGCAGTTTCTGTCAGTGCACCTGGAAACTGTGAGCAGCTAAAGCCTGCTGCCAAGCCCCCAATGGGACCAAGGCCAAACTCCTGCGCTCCTCACAGGGATGAAGGTAGAGCCATGTTACCTGCTACCTAAGCTCGCTGGTGCTGATGTGGTTTGTGGATATGGTCCCAGACCAGGCTCCGTGCACAGACTCTCAGCTCTGATCCCACCTGAGACGTTTTAGCAGCAGCAGAGACCCCAGCTGTGGAGTGGGCTCCCCCGACCACCCCGTGACGGAGGGCCTGCAGCGCTGGAGAGTTACTATGCAGCTTGGACTGCTTGTGGTGGTGGTTTTTCTAAGCTCGATGGATCTAACAGGCAGCAGCAAAGTGGTGAAGGGCAAGAGGCAAAGACGAAGTATGTATGAAATGCTTTTCTTCTCTCCTTCCTCTCGTGGTGCCGGGCGGGTCACGCGGGTGCCGACGTGTTCCCAGCACAGACGGCCGGGCAGGGCCTGCCGTGCCCTGCGAGCTCCCCCAGTCCCACTGCCGGGCACAGACACAGTGCCCTGGCCCTCTGGACCTACCAAAGCCCCGAGGTCATGGAGGGGTCAGTTATCCCCCCTGCCCAGAGGGTCCCTGGCCAGGGCTTACATGGGGCAGCCAAATAGAACTGGCACAAGAGCAGCCACAAGTGTTTGCCCTCCTCTATGTAAGCTCATGTTAGAACTGTTTTACATTAAAACTGTTTTAAATTAAATTATATAACATTGATTTGATATTAAAACTGGGACTGCTGAGCCCTGGGAGAACAAGGAAAACCTGACATCATGGCTAATGCTATAAAGGGCAATTTCCAGCAAGGGCCCAGTTTATACCTTTGCCATGGATGCAGAGCTTGGGGCCACGGCTCAGCGCTGCAGGAGGGATGGGGTCACATCCCCGAGAGGCCCCTGCATACAGGGGCCCGGGCACACAGTGCCAAGTGGCATCCAGACCCAGTGAACCCTCCTGGCAGCCGGGGGGCTGGGGGCTTCGGGATCCCTGCTGGGGACCCCCCTGCTTTCTGTGTCACTTCCCCAGGCTGTGGCAGCCCCCAGACCCACAGACCTGGCAATGGGGCTGGGGCAGGCGGGGGGGCTGCTGGGCTCTCGGGTCATGGTGAGGGGACAGGGGAGTTCTCTTACCTCTCCTCCTGGCACGTGAACACTGTGCTGCTCTGCGCTCGCTTTTGAAGTGTAGTAAACAAGGTATTTAAAAGAATACATCTTTTAAATACACAGCTTTTCTATAAACAAGGACATGGCTTGCATAATAAACTAATAAAAATAACCTGCATTCTAGCCCATAAAGAATGCGATTGGTTTCAAAACAACCAGCATTTTACATGATAATTAAAAGCAGAAAACTCTCAAGACATGGGATTGAGTATTTTTCTTGGACTGAACATAGGAGCTGAGAACACATCTCTATTTTGGGGGCAGTGACATCTCCCGACTGCCAGAGAGAGTTTAACATAGGCAGGGTCAGAGCGAGCATGGGTGGAATTAGTCAAAGGGTTTCACTCCAGGGCCATGTGCTCTGGTCCCCACCGGTCCTCGAGGTGGAGGCACCGCCAGCTCCGAGCAGGGAGGCTGCAGGAGCTGCTGGAGCCCTGGGCACATGCCCATCGGGAGTGTCTGCCCCACACGTGTGTCAGGACTGACAGGCAGGGCTGGGAGCAGTAAGAGAGGCAGTGCTGGGGCTCTGGGTACAGCTGGTGGCTGCTTCTGGATCCTGCTCCTCACCACTGCCACCGTGGTGACTCTGTGCTCCAGGCAGCACTGGTGCCTCTGGGCACCGGGCACGGGGCTGTGGTGCCCGGCCAGAGCGGGCTGGGAGCGTGTCAGTGCTGCAGGACCCCAGCCCTCACTCTGCCTCAGTTCTTCCCCTTCCTGCCCATGGTGCTGGTGGTTTGGGGTCACAGCTGGTGCCTGCAGAGCCTGGCACTAACCACCACTTCTCTCCTGCTCTTCCAGTCAGCACCGAGCTGAGTCAGGGCTGTGCCAGAGGCTGCGACCTGTGCTCTGAGTTCAATGGGTGCCTGAGGTGTTCCCCCAAACTCTTCATCCTTCTGGAGAGGAATGATATCCGACAAATTGGGATCTGCCTGCCTTCTTGTCCACTGGGATACTTTGGCCTTCGCAATACAGACATGAACAAGTGCATCAGTGAGTGTGGGGATGGGAGGGAGTGGGCACGGGTGGGTGGCAGAGCTCTGCAGGGCATCGTGTGCCTTCGCTCGTGGCTGTATGGAAGGGGAGAGCATTGCTGAGCAGGGCAGTCGCCTGCCCTGGCAATAACCCTCACTCAGCACCACATAGGCATGCTGTGGGCACGGGATCTTGCAGGATGTTTTGGCAGCTCTGTTTGGGCTGCCAGACTGGCACCATTTTCCTCTGGGAGGAGGGGGATCCTTTCAGCCATTTAGGTACTGCTCAGACAAGTGCCTTTTCTCCTCCCCTCCTGCTCACCATAGCCAGGCAGCTCTGAGGGAGATCATTGGCCTGTGGCTGCCTCCTGCAACCAGAGCACCAGAAAGAGCTGGACATGGAAACATGTGATCACTCCTCTGGCAGTTCCATGCACAGCACCTTCCTGGCAAGGCTTCCACATAACTCCCTTTCCATGCAGCCCGTCCTGTAGCTGCAGTTGTTGATCCAGGACTTTGCACTGTCCCCTTCAGCTGACTGATGATCAGCTGCATATCAGCCCAAAACTTTCCCACCCTGTCTGATTCTGTTCTGGCAGCAGCTGCTGTGGGCCATGAGAGCTGCAGCACAGGTCTGTCCTGTACAGGGAATGGTGCAAAGAAAACTGACTTCTGAGCAGCACAGTCAGGCCTGGCAGGACACTTAGAGACATCTCAGAGATGTGCCCTGCTGCTGGAAAATCCCTGGGAGCCAAGACTGAGCTCCAGTTGGCAGTGTGGATCTTCTTGTGTCTTTTGCTCACATCAGATTACATGATGGCTTTGGTGTTTTTTTCCTCAGAATGCAAAATTGAGAACTGTGAGTCCTGTTTCAGTCGAAACTTTTGCACAAAATGTAAGGAAGGTTTGTATTTGCACAAAGGGAGATGTTATGTCACATGCCCCGAAGGCTACGCTGCTGCCAACGGCACCATGGAGTGCAGCAGTCCTGGTAAGTGGCCTCAGCAGTCCTGGCAAGTGGCCTCAGCAGTCCTGGCAAGTGGCCTCGGGCCCAGTGGTGGGTGGGGGTGACGGCACAGCCAGACCCAGCTGGGGCAGAGCCCTCTGGGAACCAGCCTGGATGGAGAGCAGCCCCCAGGGTTTGTGAAGTGCAACCCAGAGCTGGTGTGGTGCAGTAAGGAAGGAGGTGCTTGGGAATTTAGGAAGCTGCTGGGGAAACACACATTCCCTTCCAGCCTAAGGTGGGGAGAGATGCCATGTTGTGCAGGGGCTCTGGGAAGGCCTGAGGTAGCAATCCAGGAATGGGAGTTACTGCTGAGCTCTCTTCTTACCTGGCAGCACAATGTGAAATGAGCGAGTGGGGGCCCTGGGGGCCCTGCTCCAAGAAGAGGAAGCTCTGTGGCTTCAAGAAGGGCAATGAAGACCGAACCCGGCGGATTCTGCAGGCTCCCTCTGGAGACGTGTCCCTGTGCCCCCCCACCACAGAGGTGCGCAGATGCACTGTGCAGAAGAGCCAGTGCCCTGAAGGTGAGCAGAGGGGGGGTGTCGCTGTCCCTCCCCACACCCCGTATTGCTCGGTCAGACACAAATATTCAGCCGGTTGTCCAGTGTCACAAATGCACTGCACAGCTCCCTAACCCTTTATGGAGCAGGGAACACAATGTGATGGCAGCTAGGAAGAGCCCTGGGTGGAAGAGGCATGGCCCCCAGGGTGAAAGGGGCATAGCTTCCAGGGGGGGTGATGCTCAGCACAGCTTGCTGCATGTCCCACAGGCTTTCAGCTATTTTAGCTTCTTCCCTGGCCGAGAGCTGCTGAGGGTGCATGCCTGTGTGCTGCCACGATGGGGTTTGTCCTCCCTACCAGAATGCTCAGGTCTATTTTTCACAGGAATTAGAGTGTCCTCGGGATGAACTGTGGTTTGGTTATCCTGTTATAGGATGGACAAGGATTGCAGCTGGGTTGAGTGTTCTGAGGTAAAACAGTTCTGAGCAGTCACTAACAGCACAGGGATGAACCAGCGGGGCAGGGGGAGGTGGGCACAGCCAATCCATCCCCTCATGGCTCGTTCCACCAGAGAGCCTCACACTGCCTCTTTGCTTTACTGCAGGGAAAAGGAAGAAAAAGGAAGAGCAAGGAAAGCAAGATAATGGAAACAGAAATCGGAAAGACACCAAAGACACTAAGTCTGGCACGAAGAAGAGGAAGAGCAAACAGAGAGGGGCCGCGGTGCCCGTGACGCCTGCCAGCCCTGCCCAGTAGCTGGCCCTGCACGTCACCGATGGCAAGACTCCATTGCTGCTATGTATATGAAAGCTTTATTGAACAGAGCACTGCTACACCACACCTGCACGTGTCCAGACAGACATATACTCCAGACTGATCCAGAGACCAACGAGGCCACGCACACAATACTTCAGGAGGCTGCACACACCCCGGGCCCGGGAAGGACAGAAGGACACTGCCGAGGAGAGGAAGCTGCCGAGGAGTGGAAGCGCACACAGAGAGGGGAAGCCCATGGGTCCAGGGCTCTGCGGGGACACTGCGGGGAGGAGAGGTGGAGCATGAGCCAGCAAAGGACACAGATGTGAGATTTCATGACCAAAGGCCTCAACTGGAGCCTGAGTGAGTTGCCCCACACAGCCCCAGTGCAGCCCCACAGAGCCAGGGGATGAGACTGGACTTGCACGGGTGCTCACCCCAACCCGGGACCCAGACACACATGGCAGTGGCCTCTTTCTCTTTCCCATACCCTTTATTTTGTGTTTTAAGCTGTATGACTTTATCGTTGCAAATACATGTTAAAAGTTTGTGGTAAGAAGTCAGTGGTATCTGCCCTGAATCTGCTTCAAAGAATTATTTCAAATTAAAAAAAAAACCACCAAAAAAACCAAAAACAAACAAACAAACAAACAAAAAACCCAAAAAACAAAATGACAACCAGCTTCCTGAGTGTGTGGTTCATACCTTGGCCCCTATGGAGGCTGGTGTCCCACAGGACAGAGACTCACTTGTGGAAGGGAAACTCACCAAAGCTTTAAGAAAATCCCAGAGAATGCTGCCAGCTGCACTGCAGCCACAAACCAGCTGCCCTGCACACAGGACCCTGGCTGTGCCCCGCCGAGCCCCGAGGAATTCCCTTCTGAAGGATCCAGTTAACACACAGCAAACTGAGAAAATGAGAGGTTACAACGAACCACAGGTTGCCGAAACATTGTGACTCCGCTCGGACAGTCACAGCTGTGGGCTGGGGACACACTGGTCCAGCTACTGGACACCACCCCAGCACGTGGCAGGAGGGAGGCAGGCAGGAGGGGAAGGCACAGCTCAGGTTCTGCAGAAGAGAAATAAATTTTTAAGTTGGGTAGAAACTACTTGTCTGCATGCCACCATCTGGAATTCCCTGGAATTCTCCTGCTCTGCACGAGCCGACATCTGGACAGAGGAACCAGGACAAGGATTGTGCAGAACAGACCTAGCAAGGCCCATGCAGGGTGCGTGGGAATGCTGTCAGCTCTGCACGGGGAGTTCTACCTTTGGTGGTGTCACAAAGTGCCACATCACTCACTGCCCTCGCATTTTAAAATGTGCTTTCTCTGTAGAATTGTGTGGAGACACATTTAATTCCTCCAGAGATCACCAAAAGCCCTCTGGTCCTGAGGGATGGAGCTGGGGAGATGCTTGGCTCCCAGAGATGTGCCCCGGGTGGATCAGGGACACGCTGCTGGAGCTCCAGCTCCCCTGGGAGGGTGATGGGCAGGGGAAAGCTCACCCCAAACTAAACCTGGCGAGTCCGATCACCACTGCACTCACTTTGTACGTCCCTCTGCTCTGTGGTTTTGGAGGGCAGAGCGAGCCAGCGAGTGTGAGGGGACACCTGTGGGAGAGCCCCCATCTCTCTAAGGGGTCACCTGCCCACACCTGCAGCCCTGGGTCCCTCCTGCAGCTCACGGCGCCCGCTGAGGACTCGGCTCTGGCACAGGACACCCCGAGTCCCTTCCCCGCCGCCCCGGGGCTGGCTCGGCTCGCTGCAGGACATGGGGGCTGCACAGTTGTTTCAGCTCCGGAGCTGTACCAAGCCCTCCGTGACTGCTCTGCTGGCAGAAAACCTTTCAGCCCATCATCCACTTTGTGTTTAAGTAAACAAGAAGCTGTTACATCTTTGAAAGGGGATTCCATTTCAGCACAATGATAAACGACCAGCATACCAAGCAGGGAGAGAAAGAGGTTCTTAAAAGTCATGCTTTGAGTTGTTTATGGATCATGTTCAGACGATTCCTGAAAGCCTCCTAGCTGAAAGATCCGATCTCATTCTATTTTCTAGCCTGTGAGAGAAGTATTTTGTTTGTGCCATGGTGTTGCATGTAAGCAGAACCATTTTCCCTTCCGCTTTCAGCAGCACCCACCAGTGACCTGCTGATGAAGCTGAGCTCACTCCCTCGCTGTGCCTCCCTCCTGCTGCCCTATCCCCATCCAGTCCTCAGCAAGGATTAGGGAAAACAGAGAGTGCACAAGGAAAGATTTCTACATGAGGCTCTGTTAATGACTCGATTCCCTGCAGTGACTCCTGGCACTATTAGCACAACTATTTCAAAACTAAACTGCATATAATAAATGAACAGAACCTATTTTAGAGAACTCTAGAGATTTTTAGAAAAACTGTCAAACTTCTTTTGCTTGTAGCCTCTTCCCTTCTTTCTTCCTTTTTCATAGCAAAATGGGAAGAAAAAGGGACAAAGGCAACAGGAAGTTTCAAGTGCATATTAAGAATATCCAAGATTTTTCAGTATGGTAATTTTAAAATTAAATTGGTTTAGAACAATTAGGAGAAAAAACATAAGAAATAAATCAATTTTTTTTATTATTTTTTGAATCAGCTCAAGAACTGTGCTTATTCCCACTCCCAGAGAGCAGGTTTAGTTATGAATTTAGGAACATTATGCCTTTGACCAACGTGAACTGCATGCTGAGCTCCCCAGTCCAAGCTGAGATGTCCTTAGCAAGGTGATGTCACCTCAACTCACACGCACATGAACGTTCTCTTTCCGCCCACCAAATAACCCTGTTGTGGTGTTCTCTCCATGGCATCACTGTAAAATACACATGTTTAAACAAATAAATCAATAAATGGGTTTGCTGAAGCAGCTTAATTTGTTTATTCATCAAAATTGGAGTCAAATCCCAAGTAACCAAAAATGTCCACAGACAGAGCAAGCCTCTCCTGAGAGCCGTCTGTCTACATCCAGGAGCCAAAGGAATCGACACAGATCATGATGGGAACATCACTGCTCCGACTCCTGGGCGTGTTCCCACCCTGTGCCTTGACCAGCTCGATGCTGAACTGGAGAAGCAGCTGCTGGATGGACAGACAGACAGACAGATCCTTTGTCAGGAACTCTGCTGCACAGAAGACATCCTTATTTTTCCCTGCTGAACAACCTGGTATTATTCACTGGACAGAATTCCACTCAGAATCCGCAGGAGGGTTTCTAGGCAGTTTCCTCAGCTTTTGGGCAACCCCTTCCATGCCATGGGGGACAAAGGGCCAGGAATAATGAACAGCTTACAGTCGTGGGTTTGAAACAGTTCAATTTCTCTCTCATTTGCTGAGATTTAGAAGCTAAAGCAGATGAATGTCACCAAACACAGGTCAGTTCTATCCTGTTCTTACCCTCTCTGGGTAATATAAATCTGTATTTTTTGTCAGATACAGTCAATGAACTGTGTGCACACACTCCTCATGCAGTAATTCACTGGCTTTCTGCCCCAGAGAGGTAGGGGCAATGTATATACTGCTTAGCCCGTGTTTATGTTAAAATGGTTTCTCACTCAGAAGAAATCTTACCTTTGATTAAAGGAAACAGAGCAGAATAGTGAAACAGGTTATCTCCAACACTATTGTTTGGATTACATTTTCTGAGAACACTAAAAGGGATAGCTCAGATATATATTTACAGATTTTATTAAGTCAATAGCCTTCACAGAGAGAGTGAGAGAGAGATGTTAGGCACCATGCTTTAAAAAATCTCTATTAAAATTACAGAAATACCAGTGTATTTAACCAGTCACCATAAATAAATCACCCTGATCGCCTTTATGTACACAGTAATACATCACACCCAACTGAATGCCAAACCATAGTTTAGATGGAGCTTCTTGCTGGAATCTCCATGATTTTTGAAGAGCAGCAGGATCTTAGTAAGAAAAAAGGAGGCAGCCAGGTAGGTTGTGTTGTTATTTACAGCCCGAGGTGAAGTGCCAGGTTAGAGGCACTGACAGGGCTGCTCAAGGCCATGGCCCCTCTTGTGCCCCATGGGAACCCAGCCGGACAGGGAAGTTACTTTTCATCACTGTTAAAATCAAACACCACAGGAAAACATTTCCATGTAACTGCTTTAGCCCTCAGGGTGCTGGTGAACTCCAGGTCTCTGTGCCCAGAGTGAAGCCGAGGGCTCTGCAGAGCGGGCACAGCTCTGAGCCCCCCGCGCTCCGAGGGCTCAACCCTGCTGGGCACAGCTCAGCCTGGGCTCTCCAAGTCCTCTTACACCTCTGGGCCTTTTTTCTTGACTTGGGTTTTCTCCTCCCTCCAGACTTCCAGTCCCCATTTTGGGAACAGTCTGGGATCACTTTGGTTTTTCTGTTCAGGAGCCATCAAACCTGGAGCCTTTTGCCAGGGAGCCTCTTGCTCCTGTCAGCTGTATCCCTGGAAAGCTATTCCTCAGGAACTGAGCCGAGAAAGCTGCTGTGCTGATAAACCACCTATGGTGTCTTCTGGTTGTGATTTTGAAGATGAGCTACAAAGGCCACTTGAGTCCCTGTGCTCTGCAGGGAATCGCTGCAATAGAGTGAGATGGCTGATGCTGCTTTATCCTGTTAAATAAAACAGGAGCTCGATACCACACTGAAAAAGGGCTCTGAGTGCAAGTCCAGTCTTGTTCTGAACTCTTGGAAATCTACTTTTCCTTCATTTAATTGACAAAATGTGTAGATCACACAAGGAAGACAGCCCCTGCCAAAAATCCAACATCACTAGTTTTTAATAATACAATGGGAATAACCCCTCAGAACATATGTAATTATGGGAATGAGTCATTCCAATGGCATCATGTAACCCTGTTCCCTGGGATTTGACAAGGATGAGGCCACATAAAACTCAAAATTATTTCATTTCAGCCCTGGTCAGGGCAGTGGTGCCAAGGAGCTGAGGCTGTGTGGCAGAGCTGATGGACACCGTGCTCCAAACCCGCTGTCCCGGCCGGTCCCACTGCACCCAATGGACACAGGACAAGAGAAAGTTAAAGATCCAAAGGGGAGGGATGCATCAATAGCAAAGGAAAAGCTATGAGTCATAGAGTAACAAAAGATCAGTTTAGAGGAACAATATCCGACCCATACTTATCAGATATTCAACAAACAGCCGCGGGGACACTGCCAGTTAAACACCAACT